GAAACAAGTAAATTAAAGTCTGTAAATCAGCTTGTTTATAGTACTCTTAATAATGTCTTCTGTTCAGTCATGATAGCATCATCATAGCAGTTCCAAAGAATGAGTTTTATTAGCTAGGCTGATGGGTTGGAAGTCAGCTTAGTGAATGCTGATACTGTCAGGCAGTTGCAGAGCCCATTGATGTTGATAGAGAAATTCCCACTGGCTTCAGTAGCTTGTGGATTAGATCACATGAAATGAAACCACTATGCAATATACTTACTTTTAATAACAGTTTCTTACAGTTTTCATATATTTACAGAAGTCTGCGTAACAGTCTAAGAAGTCCTCAGCCAAGGGAATAAGTAATGATCTTACTACTTTAAATGGTTCCTTATTGCAGCTTCATATGTATGCAGTCATGTTTTTAAGGCCATTATTTCCTTGGCAGATTCTTTCGATTTCATATTGAGAACAGGTATGTTGTCAGACCACACCTGGAATACTGGGCTCAGTTGTGGTCCCCACTATACAGGCTGGAGAGGTCCAGAGAAGGGCCGCAAAGATGATCCAAGGACTGGGCAGCGTGTGAGGAAAGGCTGAGAGAGCTGGGTTTGTTCAGCCTGGAGAAAAGAAGGGTCAGGGAGACCTTGTCTCCAGGTACCAGTATTTGAAGTGTGGCTACAAAGACAGAGACTCCCTTTTTATAAGGAGACACATGGAAAAGATGAGGGGTGATGGGCACAAGTTACTCCTGGGGAGATCCTGACTGGACACAAGAGGAGAGCTTTTGACAAAGAGAGCAATTAGCCATGGGAATCATCTCCCCAGGGAAGTGATGGATTCCCCAATGCTGAACACTGTTAAGATAGGGCTGGACAGAGTGCTGGGATATCTAGTCTGGGTCATGCTTTGCCTAGAGAGGTTGGACCAGCTGATCCTTGAGGTCCCTTCCCACCTGCTATTCTATGATTGCATGATCTTTACATGCATATGGCAGTTGTAATGAACTAGTTTGAGACTACTGTTTGGGTGTACATATAGATGTATGTTACCTTGCCTGAATTACGCTGTTTATAAACGTTGCCAGTCTGCAGTTTGTGTACTCTAGAGGGTGCTACTGTTCTAAATGATGGACAAACTTTTGCCCTTCTGTAGTAAGCACACTACAATTCTTTTGGAGCATACAATCTCCTTACTGACAGGGTCAGTATTTAGTTCCCAGTCCACTGTTCAGCCATGCCTGGAAATCAGTGGAAAAATGGAACTGATCCTGAGCGGAAGGTGCTATTTGTACAGAAATCAGACAAGTGCTGCCCTAGGTTGGCCAGTGCCAATTGCGGTGTTGTCAGGAGACTTACAGAGCAGTGGCTTGAGGGACTGGACCCACATCTTTCCTGGATGTGTGCTTTGGACTCTAGTAAAGACTGTTGCTGATTAGCTCATTGTTGCAGTGTTAAAGAATGCAAATTAAAGTAGTATAAACCTGATGCATGTTAGCAAATGGTTTTCCTCTTGATTTTGCTGTCAGTCAAAAGTAGCGCCAGTGAAATGCTTTGTTCGTTTCTCTGAAATGAAACCACAACAAAACCACATTGGCTTCATGGCACAGCAACATCCCGTGGCAATGGATGTACGTGCTATCTAGTTGAAGAGGAAAATATTTCAGGTTTTTTCTATGCATTGGAAACACTTTTAGTGATAACTACTTCAATCATTGTCCTTGCCAGAGCTCAGTAAGTAGGACGAGCTCGTATTAGCTGCATGTAAGGCAACTGTATTTTCTGTAGTCATTTAATTCTAAATGTGGAAGATTTTTTTATCTAGAAAATGAGTTGTGAAACAAGAAATGCATAAATGTTTCACGTATTTTGAAAAGGTCCTTACTTAGAAGAGGTCACACTAGTAACTTCAATAGGTGGCATTTGTTAGGAACTGTCTGGTTTCTCCACATCTAGGCTTTGGAAAGCAACTGTTTGCACAGTGGGTTTCAGGTGAATAAACGTACCACAGTCTTGTCTTTTCTTCCCTACATACAATGCAAGAAATCATCCACAATGGGCAGCCAAATATGACTAGAATTGGGTTGTTTTGTTGACTTCACTCCTGCTGACAGCTAGCCTCATGCTCTTCTCAAAGGCCTTGCCCAGAGGCCCTGCTTTGGAAGCATTGTTTCCTTTCTAAGGAGAGTCAACATGCAGGTATTCCATGCTCAGTACTGGGAGGAATAATCAGTTGTAACAGGAATTTGAAGCTACAGTTCAGTGGAAGTCTGTAAATCAATACCACCAAAGAATTTTGTTCCTTATCTTCCCTCACTAAATGAAATAGTAAGTGTGCAATAAATGTCTCAATGATATGATTGCACACTTCTATTGCAAATGGGAAATGACTCAAGCAGGGCATGACATAGTATTATACTACATGCGTGGTATTACGTAGCACATAGTATTTAATACTACGTACAGTTAATAATGAAAACTAGGTTTTGTTTCACAGACACTCATGCAAAGAATTTCTCAGAGTTTGCTCTGAAAGGACTGAGTCATGATTCTCGTGAGATGGTTCTTCTAGTTTGTGGCTCAACATTTGTAGAATTTTTTTGACTCTTACACATTTTTATAAAGGTTGTTGGTTAAAGGTACTATGAAATTAAGGCTTTTTAAAATGATTAAAGGTCAAGTTTGTTTTCAAGCCCCAGATTGCTTCACTTCAGTCGTTACTCTTTATTTTCAAAGCTGAAGTCATTTGTTGAAATGTGAATCGTGCCAGAGTTTAGTTGTTTAAAGGTTTCCTCATCTAAATGATGTGGAAGTAGAAAGACTGAGTTTAAAGAAATAGCATCTCACTAAATAATGATTAACTGATGTTTCAAGCACATTCCAATAGGTGCAATGGAGTTCGTGCTAAACAGAAGAGCCTGTCTTTGGCTTACTGTGGTTCCCTGGGTCCATTTCCTCTCTCAAAGAAGTAATCAGCTACTTTTGTTAAGGGGAGCATTGTGGGAGGGTTAATCTCTGCATATGCTCAAATTACCATTCAGCTTTGAAGAAACAGAGTGTTACTCTCAGTTTATTTTTCAGTGTTCAAGAGGCAGCTTCACCATAACAATGATTCTGTTATGTAGCAAACATAATTCTATTTAAATTAAATTTGTGTTCTGTGATACCCAGTAATGCATTTCCCTCACCTGCTGCTGCATCAGAAGTAAAATCTAGGAGCTCATCTTATTCCCAGTAAAATTCAACAATAACGTTACTGTTAAATTCCTGGGGATCAGAACTGGAGCTTTCAATATTTTTCCAAGTGGTCAATCTTAGTCTTTCAAAGAGCCATTTCAGTTGTCTGTTGTTACCAAGTGGTTGTTTTTCTCCTGAGGCAGATGTGTTACCTTTGAACATGAGACCTTCCCCTCTGGTCTGGCTTTTGTGGACTTCTCACAGAAGTCAGACACCTATCCTTGGGTTTCCTGTATGTATTAGATTAATGGTCCAGCTGATGCTTCAACATAAACAACATTATAAACTTAAGCCATGTCCAGACATCTTCAAAGTTTTTGAGATCATTTTCATATTGCTCATATGGAATTTCCAGATTTGGAAAGAAACACAAGTGCTTAATAATATTTCTTTAATTTAGACTTGTGATACAGTATATTTACCTTCTGTTATTGTCAAAAACGTTTGGTAACATTATGCTGAGTGTAGTAAACTGATGGATTTCAAAGTTCTTATTTCAAGTGTATTTATTGCAAGGAAACAGTGTAAACCAGTAATGAAAATAATTTCTTCACTGTTATTGTCTTACCAATTGTGTGTTTGTACAGAATTAATTGTTTGGCCATATTTACTGTGCCATTTCAGTATAAACTATTTCTTTGCTTTCTACCATCGGTAATACCTAAGATACCCTTAAGAAATGTGTTGCTAAAAGCAGTGTTTTCAGTTGATTATCATAAAGTTTGGTTCTTCTACTATTGAAACCAGTGAAGAAACTCTTCTGGCCTCAGTGGGAAAAGGATTTTCCAAAAGCAATGATGGATTATTTTGATGTGTAATATACATCACTGATGACATAGATTTAGTTTAATAGCATTTTGTCAGATGTTGAAAATGGACAAAGTTATGTTTTTTTTAACACAACATGTGAGAAGATGTTCTGTGGTGTTCTGGTTTTGGGTTGCACAACAAGTCGTTGCTTGCATATAGTAAAAGCAGGGGAAGGTACTCTAAGCTTTGGCTTGAGCAGAGAAGGTGTGGAGAGGCTGATAACCATATTCCTTTCCCAACTTCAGAGTGTTAGGATAGTTCTCTTTTAATCCCCATTTACTTCAAAGCAGATAGGTGCTGCATACAGCTGACATTCCTAAAAGAATGTCTGCTTGTTAGGCCTGGGAGACTGGATCATTGAATTCCATTCTGTTACACCTCAGCCATCCTGCTACATAAGAATTACTCATAAACTCTCCTTCAGATTAATTACATTGTCTGAAGTTACGGTCTAGAAATACTGACCTAGTAAATCAGGTAGTCACAGATTTGGTGACAACAACCTCCAGGACCTCTGGTACTTTCTTTAAAAACTATATAAAGTTTCTAAGCATTGTGTTTCCAGTGAAAGATTTTCCAAATAGATGAAGGGGTAAAGGTTAAAGTGAGTGGATGATAGGAAGTCGTTCACATGGAAATGAATTTCCACTGGTGTTGGTGACTTTAACAAGAGCAAGATTGCATCTTTTTAGGGGTGCTTATTTTATAGTAATAACTAACTGTGAAATATGTGCTTCAGTATCCTTTAGTATACAGTTCAATGTTGAAAATCACATTATGCTTTTTATCACAACATGCAGTGTGATGAGATGTTAAGGACACAAGGACATCAAAGATGAAAGAGAATTGTGTATGTGTAGCAGGTCAGTTTAATTAGCATTTACATGTAATTCCAAGACACTGAAGGCTGTGCAAGGAGTGTTTGTGTAGCTATTGATCACAGAAGCATATATCCTCCCTTTTTTCCTTCAGGGCCAAGGCTTTTCGTGGAAAAAAGGTCCATGGAGAATATGACATAAAGGTTGAACAGGTAACTAAATGACTTAACCTGAATGTTACTTTGATATTTGTGTATTTATACAAGTGCATGTATGTGTATAAATACATACCTCCCTGGAGGTGTTTAAAAGAAGTGTAGCTGTGCTACTTGGGGGCATGGTTTTGAGGTGAAGGTGGCAGTGCAGGATGTTGGTAACACAGGGTTGTGATGGGAAGCAGGGAAATGAATTCCTTGGTTTGCTTTGCTTGATTGTGTGGCTTTTGCTTTACCTATTAAGTTGTCTTTATCCCAACCTGTGAGTTTTCTCACTTTTGCCCTTCTGATCCTCTCCCTCATTCCACCAGCAGGAGTGAGCGAGGGGCAGTGTGGCGCTCAGTGGCCCGCTGGGGTTAAACCGTATCTATCCATCTTGGTGCTCAACATGGGCTCTTTTTAGAGGATTCTGACGATAATTTGCGCAACATTAAAAACATGTTGTATTCAGAAGTTGTTGCTTTGAGACTGTGAATGTTCCAGACACTCCATAACTACAGGTTGCATTTCTGTATCACTAATTCCTTCTCTTAAGAATATACATACTCTCCGGTTGCAGTGCTAGCATGCTCTTTTAAAAAAGCACTGGGTAAATATGGAGCTATAATTCAGGGTGCATTAGAGTTATGGCTGTTTTATTTCAGCTAGGTATCTGAAAAGGGAAGTGAATAAGTGTTTTTACTGCTTTTCGATCTTGAATTCTAGAAATAGATGCCACTATTAAGAAGCTTCAGTAGATGAAGTGAATTGTTTTGTCATTGGGATTTCAAAAAGTGAGGTAAATGGTCACTGAGTGGATCCAGCTTATCTAAATTCACTGTAATAGTACAGCATCTAGCTTTGCTCCATTCTTTACACCATTGAATATCTGCTGATGTTCTTGGCTGGGAAACATGGAAAGCTTTGCCAGGGATCTTCAAGAGTAGTGAGGGGGAGAGATGGGAAAAAGAAGACAAGCTATTTTGTCCCCAGATGCCATTCACACCTACATCAGACCCTGTGGCTGACATCACACACACTGGTTCTTTAGTATTGACAAAGGCTCTGTGTAAGCCTGGACTTTCCTTAATATAATCATTTGTAGGAGCAGAACCACCTTCACTCAGTAAGAGACTGAAAGTTTCTGTTACCTACTAATCACTTGGTAACATCCACACTATGACAATCATATACAAATACTTATTTACAACTACTTTACTGTTGTTCTGTGAATACCAGAGAGCGTTGTTTTAATTTTACAGCAACCTGTCTTAACATACAATATTTTGTATCATGTACTAAGCTTTTAAACTACAAAATCTATATTGTGAATCCCTATTTAATATGAGCTATTAACTGGGGAGATCAGTTGTCATTAAATAAATTTTTAAATGATTCTTTAATATTGTCAGCACTTACACAAATAATTCAATCTCTTACCATTTGTACTGGTTTTGCCAGAATCTTAGAACTGCCACTTGTGTTTTGAATGTTGTAAGGCTTATCCTAGAAAGTATTTAAGCATATTGGTTTTAATGGAGAGACCTCCATGCTTGAACACAAGCACATCCATAAGCTCTTGGGTTGGAACAGTGGTCAGAGTAGTCAGCACTTGCCTTAACTGAACACTAAATTCTGAAAGCCTGACACAGATTTACTTCAGAAGACTTTTAGTGATGCCATTTTTCAAGAGGAGACTAATGAGAATTCTGACACTCTCTGTTCTGTGTTAGTGTCCAGGATAGCAAAGACGCTTTTATTTATCCACTAGAAGACACTTGGCTGCATTTCAATTATTCTGCTGTGTAATGTTATTGTAAAGTGCCTTGAGAGTCTAAGCTGATGAAAGACTGTGGATAAATGAAAAACATCCTGTCCTTTCCTTTCAAATAACTCTAGATTCAGAGTATGGAAGTGATTCCCTTTAAATTCCACATTTCCAGTGTGAGAAGATAACTCTGAAGAAGTTCCTTACTTGCGAATTTTTTGAGTCAGTTATTCATTAGCACCAGATCCTTTAAAAAGGGGAAATGCACATCAAGGAAATAAAAAGGGTGAAGTATATGAAGAGACACAAAATGCTGTAAGAAAACGTTCTGTTTATCACATTAATGTTGCTTTTGTACTGTTTTCTTCAAAGCACTCAGTGTTTGTTGAGTCTGTATTTATCTCTTTGATAACCCCATACAAAGCAAAAATACAATCTTTACGCTTCCGTGCAACATGAATGAGTAGATACACCTGCTACCTCCCCACAGTCCTTTTCCATAAAGTCTTTTTTACTTTCTGCTTTCTATGTATTAGAACTTGTTCAAATGTGACATTTCAGATGCGGCAAATACCATTGGATTAATATCCTCTTGATGCTCATTATATTCCAGATGTATATTGTCAGCACTTCAGATACTAATACTTAAAAGAAGGGATTTAGGAAAATAAAAGTAAAATAAACCAGACTGACTAATGTGAATCTTCTTTTCATAGGCAGAATTTTCAGAGATCAACTTGATAGCCCATGCTGATGGCAATTATGCAGTAGATATCCAAGTATTTCGAAATGGCACTAAAGTTGTCAGGTAAGAAAAACTAAACCAAGTAACAGCAAAAGCATTGCATTGATTAAAGTGTGCATGTGAAAGGTACTGATGCTTTTCTGTATACGTGCAATAGGGACTCTGACTGATACAACACTCCTTGGTGACTGGCATGAAAAGTAGGAAATAGAGTATCTGATCAGCACAGTAAGTCCTGTTTGTGACAGGAAGGAAATCTGACTTTTTGATCACATCAAAGATAGATTTGACTGAGATAGGAATAAAGTCTGGTATTAAGAATACATGATGGGGAGTTGGGGTTATTGATTGGGCTTTATCTTTACTGCAGGATAACAACAATCTTGGTGATTTTGTACATCCCAGACTGTTTCAGATGAGCAGTTTTCATTTCCAACATTGAATATTTTCTGTTGAAACAGGCCAAGTCGTAGCACTTCTCTTAGGATAGTTACTGGAATATCGCCATCTGTTTGAAAGCTTTCAGTTTAAAACTCTGAGAATTTGGGACAATTACTCCTATTTTGGCCAGTGCAGTTAAGGATGAGTTAAGTGTATCAGTTGTTCAGCTGAGCAATTGCATTTAGAAGGGTAGATCAAGCCACTAACAGAAATCTGGTAGTTTACTTCTTGTGTTTCTCTTTAGGCAGGAGTCCAGGGAGCTGGACAGCATACAGCATGGCTTGTATCGTCCTGCTTTTGCACAACATCTGTCCAAATAAGAGATTAGGAAGTTTCTACTCATTCACGTAAACAAAAAAAGTAACCCCACAGAAAATAAGTTTACTTTAAGCTTTAAAACACACAAGTGCTTAATCCCTTGTGTGTTCTAAAAACACTGCAGCTGAATCCAACAACCACTTACGCCAAATCGACAAGATTATTTCTTTAGAAGTGTAAAAGATTTCGATTTTTTTTTTTTTTTTTTTTTTTTTTTTTAGGGGTTGTTTTTGTGTTGGTTTGTGTTTTCCTCCAGAGATAGAAGCTTTGGAGCCAGGAAATCTTGATCACTGCTCCTTAGTGGCTTTTCTGGAGACAGTTTTCCAAACAGAACAAAAATACTGAGGCCAAGTTAACATCAAAACATGCCAATACTTAAAGGGAGTTGGGAACCTCCAGAAAATAGCATCTACAAAGATGTATGTTTGTGGTTTATGAGAAAACTTGGTGAAACTGCTGCTTATGTTAAGAAATAAAAGAAATCCTGTGTTAGCAGAGGACTCTGATAATGAGATGACAAAGGATCTTATGCTTTTATCAGTTTTATAGGTAATCTAAAGTAATAGATCTTCCTGAGGTTGATAAATTTCACTCCAATCTATGTGAGAGACCTTCGTATGTGGACTTGCTGGAAGAAGGGGATGCAGACATGATGGGAGAGCAGTTCTCTGCTTCTGCAATAACTTATCTGAAGATACAGAATATTTTTTGAAACACAAATGGATTTATCATAATTGTTTTGTAGCTTCAGATAGGTGCTGGTCGTTATATTGCTTTAAGCCTGGTTGGTTTGTGAAGTTCGTTGCCTGAAGCTTGGAATGTGCTCCTTCTGTCACTAAGGAATGCAGTTACTGGTGGATATTACTATCCATGTTCAGTTGATACGTTTCATTGAAAACCAGCGTTAAATGTGGGTCAGACAATAGGATGTGTGTCCTGGTCCTTTGGTTCTGTCTGTCTCAACTGTCAGGAGAGATAGGAAAAACTGCTAGTTCTGCTGGTATCAAAGTTCATACTGAATACAGACTATGAGCTTATTACTAAAAAGGCATGGACACCTGACTGTTGAGATGAAAGTTCTTATGTGTTACTAATCTGAGGCCCACTGTGACCTCGTATCATAGATCTATGAGTAAAATATTAGTTAGCAAAAGCATAGCAATTTCAGTGACAGAGTTTTGCTTAGTTTTAGAGGAAAGGTATGTGAAACAGGCACCTGCTTGTTTCGTTTTTGTGAATGAAAGTCAATCCATGGAAGATGATACCTTCTGTTGCATAATGCTGAGATTTGGGATTTTACAAATGCTTAAGCCAGGATTAACATTTTTCTCATGACATTCTTCTGTACAGAGTCATTGTATCCAGCAGTAATCACACATCTAGAACAATTATGTAAACATATCGTATTCCTTTGAGGAGATTTTGCAAAACAAAATAAGTTCTTTGAGCGTTGTTGGGGCTTCTTATAAAGTATATTCCCTCAATTCCCCAATTGTTTCATTAAACTGGTATTTTAATGGACACTTCCTGTTCTATTGAAAAACACAGTGCTGGCTTTGAGATGATGTGTAGTTAGTCCCCTGCGTACTGCTTGAAATGATAGAGGTGATCTCTTTTTGCAGCGAGTAGTCTGCAGTTCTGATTAAGGCATCATTAGTCCTCTAAGTATTATACTCCTGCTGTGCTCCTCAGTTGAATTGCCTTGTTTCAAACACTTGGCACACCATCCTGAAACCTAGATGACAGATTCTAAGACCTAGGCTACAAACATGTTTTTGGGAACTTGTTTAAAGGGTACAGTTCTTTAGGAGTTGTGGTCCCTGGGCCACAGCACTGTTTTAATGACTCTTGACAGCAAATCTTTAGAATGTTGCTTTTGCCAAACCCTGCGTTACATTTGAAAGCTTGGTTAAGGCTCCAGCTAATATGCTTTGACTACTGCATTCAGGCTGGAATCTCAAAACTGCTAAGGCAATTTCAACATGAATTTTAATTGTTTTGGTTTGTTTTGTTTTACTAGAGTGAGATTTCGGAATGACTTTGTAATCTTTGGAATTTTGCACTCCAGCATACAGCTTATATTTAATCAGGGCATGTAAATAATTACACTGATTTACCACACTAATTTAATTTACCCTGCAGTTATGCCTCTTTCAGGAGGTCAACAGCTTCAAGTTACTCAGTGTTTTTCCACCAGCAGAGAGTCTTTCAACAGGCACTGGTGGCTTTTTCAGTAACTAAATGTCAGGGTTTGGGTAAGGTGAAGGTGGTGTCAGATTGTTCTCAATGGTGCATGTTGAAAGGACAATAAGCCAGGGAGATTGCAGCAGGGGAAATCCTAATTAGATACAAGAGAGAAAAAGGAACTGCACAAAAAAGTTCAGTTTTAAGTTCAGAAATTCATTTTGACAAGTGTATAGAGCAGAATTTGAATTGTGATTATCTCCAATGCCTTTGGGAAGCAGTGGAGTTGCTCCACCTCTTACTGTCTTTTAAACAGTCTGACAATAGTTGTGAAAACAATTATTCCCAAGAAGCTGAAGTTTCTGGCAGAGACATTTGCCTGCTTTGGTTTTGATTGCCATTGCTCGGGAACCAGTGTACATAAACTAAGTACATAATTCAGAGTTTGTATCTGTGATTTATCTTTCAGTGAGAAGACAACCTGGAAAGCTGTCTTCTCTGAATGGAGTCACATTATTGACTGGATGCTGATGTTTTCTGAACAGTGGTTAAGAAATGATGCAGTACAGATTTTCATAAAGCCATAGCAACTCTCCATCTTTTAGCATTTACCTTTGTTTTGAGTGTTCTTTTAGTACTTCTCTATCCACCAGCTCAATGGGTCCCTCAGCTAGACATTTTTCCCTTTTAAGATTTGGCTGTTGAAGGAAAAAACCATTTGATCACTGACCATTAGCAATGTATCTTTTTCCTGCTAGGTCCTTCAGGCCTGATTTTGTCCTGGTTCGACAGCATTCATTCAGCATGGCAGAAAATGAAGACTTCCGTAACCTGATCATCGGGATGCAGTACGCTGGCATCCCCAGCGTCAACTCCCTGGAGTCCATCTACAACTTCTGTGACAAGCCATGGGTGGTAAGTCACGCACTGGAAAGTTCTCCTGGTGCAAAAGCAGTTGGTGACTTTTTCTTTGCTTGTTTAGGTCCTTTTCGTGAACGCTGAATTAACAAACTGCAAAGGTACTTAGCAGAGCAGCGTAGGCAGTGTGGAGACAGAGAGTAAAAGTGCTTGTAGTACAAATAGTGAACTAAGTGAGGAAGCTAACGGCAGGCCTGCCCACTGCTAGCATACGTCCTAAAGTGAGGATAGAGTGTTTATTCACAATTTGGGAAAAGCAAGCTGAGAATATTTGTCATATTTGTGGTTTTGAACAGAATTCAAACAGACTTTGGCCGGTGTTTTCCGCATGCCTGTGAAACGTTTTGGGCTATGCCTTAGCAAGGAAATCTGGAGCTATTAGTTTCCTCATTTAAAAGCTCTTTTCATAATCTTGTATATATGGGGTTAGGAGTTAGTCTTTTCCATTACACCTAGAGTAATGAGAACACTGGAGATTTTCTTGTATTTATCAGTTTTACTGTAGAAGCCAATTCAGTTTTTCATTACATGCTTTGTAATGATGGAGGTAGAATTCAGTCATCTTCTTGCTTCAGAGAGAGCTAAAGATTAGTAGCAACAAGGTAAAATGTAGTGCTGTGAAAGATGATGATCAATAGTGCAGTCACTGTTCTGTAATACACATATTCAGTTGTTCAAGAGCTAATGAAACTTCCAAGAATACCACTTGTTACAAAGGGCCAAATCTTCATCATTTTTTCCTCTGTTGTTAGGGTGAGAAAAGAACACGACGACAGTTGTCAGTACTTTTCACACCAAAGGAAAGTTTTACTGTAATGCTTCTTAATTGCCTTGAAGACGTTTGCTTTTTCACACTTATTATTAAAATCCCTCCAAAAAATTGTCAGCAGATTTTAACATATATTTCTTGCAGCTGATTTTATTATATGTTTATGTTGCAGTAAACTACAGTGGGGCATAAATATTTGATTGAATGTTTATAACTTTTCAGAATGCATATTGTACATTGCTGAATCCATGATTTTAATACATCACATTTTGTGTGCTGTGGGGCATTCCCTATTCCTTTGACTCATTGTGTACAGTAAAGCTGGGTGGTGGAGCAGTAACAGTAACATTGATATGCAATAATGGTGCAGTAAAAAGAAAATTGATAATTCCTTGTTGTAATATTCCTGTGGTGGCATTAGAGTCATGACTGTTCTTCCACCAGACTGATAAAGAGAGCTCTTTCTTACCACTGGTCTTGTTGCACATAAAATTTCTGTGTTGATTTTTCGCTCTTCTAACTGGGAATAAGTGGAAATTTTACTATAACAAGTGGAAGACCCAGCAAAAGCAAATATAAGTTTACGTGTGTGAAAGAATTAATTCATGCTCCATATCTTTTTTTGTTCCATATAATACACCTCACAAACAAATAATGAAGTATTATGCTTATAAGGTCTTACTTGAATTTAGAATTGTAGTAATTTAAAAATAGTCTTAAATTAGGGTAGAGCTTTTCTAAAGGTGTGAGGGTGCTGAGGCGCTGGCACAGGGTGCCCAGAGAAGCTGTGGCTGCCCCATCCCTGGCAGTGTTCAAGGCCAGGTTGGACACAGGGGCTTGGAGCAACCTGCTCTAGGGGAAGGTGTCCCTGCTCATGGCAGGGGGTTGGAGCTGGATGAGCTTTAAGGTCCCTCCACCCCAAACCATTCCATGACACCACAGTTTATGATGAAATGGCCACCTTCTGAATTGTCAGGAGAATCTGTATCTTTGCTTTTTGCGAAAGTGCTCATTTTGGCTGAAATGTCTGTAGTTTGTCTCCGCCAAGTGAAATGCAAAAAATTTCAAGATTAAGATACAAGTGAAATGCAAATATTTTTCAGCTGATCTTGTTTTATTTGAACATAGAGAAGAATGATTTTTTTTTTTCCCCTTTGAGATTTCCTACCTTGCACTTCTACCTCTGACAGCCAGAATGTGTTTTCTTTGAAATACTCAAAATTTGCACAGTGTCAACAAGAGTCCATTTCATCTCTTTCAGGTTTTCCTCTCAGAAATAACTGTTCTAGAGAAATGGTAGCGTCAGACATGTGACATGCCTTAAACTAGCTGCTTTCATCTTTTTTTCTGTAGTTCCCTGAAGTTGTTTCATTACAGTGTGTAACAGAGCAGGGCTGGAGCCTACACCCTACCCTGCTAGTCCATGGACAGTGAGGCTGAGCAGGTAACACTCCTGCTGTGACCATGGTTGTTCTTTGCTCCATCACTGGCCTCAGTTCTGGGTTTTAACTACCTGTGACCATAAGATAAGTCTGTAAACATGAGATTGGTTCCCATTCTGAATATGTGATGGTGCTGGACCTCAGCTGGATCCTACTTAGGAGCGTGGACTTTTGAGCACAAAAAGAGTTTCTGTACAAACACGAGGGGATTTGTTTGGGCGTTTAACATGGAATATCCTGACTTCTGTTCTTTGTGGTAGTGGGAGATGTAGAGACAGCCATGCTCATCCCAGAGCCTCATGAAATCTTCATTGCTAAGCATTGCAAGACATCCTGCAAACCCGTTTCAACCCATGCCAGAAGAAATACTCTGAGGGTAGAAATCTGTTGATCCTTTGATTCAGCTAATGCCATGAACATTCAACTAATGCAGCAGGACCCAGCAACTGTTGGATTTGCTAATGTTATCTTTTAGCTTGCTCGATTACACCAAACTCATACATGCTACCCTGCCTCTGTGCAATCCCTGCTGCAAACTGTGGTCTAGTTTTGGATGCCTTGGGGTGCTCTTCTCAATCTGTTGCTGCATGGAAGCAGTAAGCGTAAAAACTACTGATGCCCATACTGTGTTCCTAGTTGTACTTCAGGCCAGTGGCTCAAGGAGTGTTCCCCACTGCTAAAATGACACCTATTTAGGCTGAACTGATATGTACTTACTTAAACTGTAACTAGAAAAAAACCTAGCAGAATTATTCTGCAAGTTCCTTGATCAGAAATCTGCTCAACATTTACAGCACTGATTAAAGGAATTGAATCACCTGCCAGGCTCATCTGTTACATACAGAACTGATTTGCTGAAACCGCGATTGTATGTTTGCAGTAAAGACCTCTCTTATTTAAATTTCTGTCTTTTTCATCATAGCTTAAATAGTAGAATACGCTCCAATTCCGGTTGCAATTTACATTATTTGTTGTCTCAACATTCATTTCAAAAGAAAAGTAGGTTCTACTCCATACACATCTGTATCTTTTCATAAAGTTCAGCTTACTGTCAGGTTGTCAGGGAGTGTGTTCAGTAGCCCTGAGTGTCCCTGTCAGGTGTGCAAGCACGTGCTTGGACTTGCCATTGATCAGCCCCCTTTCTTCACTGCATGTAAAGCATGCCTTTCTGATAATCCCTTGCTTAACGTGGATGACCTGATAGTTGTATCAAAGCTACTTCTATAAAAATTACAAGTTCAAAAGCCTTATGAAAAATCAGGAAGCAGAACTCTAGATGAAGTCATGAGTAACAATCTGTATTAATTCATGAGAAATGCATTGACTTTCCTGCAGGTAAAATTTGAGTGGCAGAAGTGAATTGCAATTTCTATAACAGCAGAAAAAAAATACCCAGGGTGTCCAATGGAATGGGCCTTTAAGGGATGAAGAATGATTGAATTAGTCATGGGCAATTGCTCTTACTTACATCAGGGTAAAATCGGGAGTAGTATAGAATTGCAAGGAGGGGAAGTCAGGAAAGAGTAAAATGAGAGTTAGAATCCAACATATAAGCTCTTTATTTTTTAAGTTACTCTTGTTCAGAGTATCAGGTCTTTGCTTTTCTTTAGAACACACAGCTCTGGATGCACAGCATCTCTTCTCAACCCTGAGGGCAGATTCACACTGTGTTAGAAGCTGAAGCACCTGCCCTTAGTTTTTCAGCAGAACTCTTGCTGTACTGTGCCTGCAGGCAAGTGTGGGCTTCTAGGCCTTTGCCAATAAACAATTTGTATTTGATCTGAGGAATTTTATTGAAAGGTGGAACATTGCCAGGAACACACTAAACATTTCTGAGAACAAGTCTTAAAGCTTGTATTTTCCAGTGTCGGGACATACCCAGTTCCTTCGAATGCATGTCAAAAGTTCAAAGCACTGAATAACCCTTTGAAAAGTTGGGATGCCAGCAACCCTGGCAAAAAAAATACTGAAATGAGTGTGTTGGTGAGATGTTTGCTGGCTGAAATATGTTAATGTTTGAGATTAGTACCCTACTCCTGTTATTTCAATTCTCTGATAATGCTTACCACCTACTTTGTGGAAAAAATCGTGATCCTGGCTTGTGAGAAGAGTTTCACTTACACACTAGTAAGAATGTCAGAAAGCTACTTACCTTGGGGGGAAGCATGACTTTTGTAAAGAAAGACTAAGTTCTTTATTAGCGAGTGCATGCAGAGCTGGGGACTAACGGTTTTAAGGCTCATGCCTTCTCTTACCATGTTGGAACTTTTCATTGCACTGTCGTGTTGCAAAGTGATAGTCTTGTGCATGATTTATCCCTTTCAAATGAGCCAAGAATGTTCCCTAGTTTAATTTATAGTTACAGCAAGTTAAGGTGAGGAAAAAATGTATACTTTCCTTGTTGGATTTGTGACTCATAATTCGACTCATGTCTAAAATGGTCTGTAGAACCTATTGTAAAAGCAATTATGAAAGTTTTATAATAGTAAAAAGAAAAAACTGTAATTAATTACCCAAAGTTATGACTCGTTATTATTTAAAGTTACAATCTAGATACTTTATCTCTGTTTTCCTTTAGAAAAAGTAATTCAAGAAATAAATGAGAGATTCCTTAACTGAAGCTTCTAAGATTGATGTAAACTTTCCTACAGTAAATGATGTAAGTAAGCAAAGTAATTGCAGAGGCCAGAAGTAGCTGGAAAATGTGATAAGGACAGTGCTTGCAGCAATGGGTGAAATCCCAGCTTATTATTCAGACTGAGAAAATATAAAAAAAAAAATCCATG